GTCCTGATCATTGTTATAGAAATAGTTTTTTTTTTTTAAATTGCTTCATCTTTTTTTCGGCGTAGTAAAAAGGTCTGAACTAAAAAACTAAGATCAAACATAATTGACACTCATACTAAAAGAAGCAAAGCAAAAAATTGATTCTGAAGGAGAAAAAAATGAAAAACGATTTCGAAAAATTAAAAAAAAATTCCGGCTTTTTATAGTATTTGATTCCAAAAAAAAGCGCTGAGAAAATTTCAAAAACCCTAGTGTAACTCAAAAAAAACCACGTTTTTACTTTTTAAATTTGGCTATTGTAACCTTTAACGATATTAAAATAAGCTTTTGCAAGACTGCTCGCTCGCTTTATCTGCTCGAAAAAAGACGCAAATCCAAAACTTTGAAATCTCGAAACTGCGAAATTTTTTTGCAATTTTTTCTTTCCGTTGAAACCAAAACTACATGGGCTTTAAAAAGAAGTACCAGTCAACTCTCTCTGTTGATTATTTGTGTTAGCTGATTTTGCGTCTAAATAAAAAAAGAAAAATTTAAACTACACCCGAATACAAAATTCCTCCAATTTTCGAACGGTTGGATCACAAAACCATTGATTTTGAACAAAGTGATGAGTTTTGGGAAATTAAATACCTTGAAAAAACATGGTTAAATAACTCATACAATTTCTCGTCCGCCTCCTCAAAGCTTTTGCAAAGAGCGTATTGATTCACTCGATAGTGTATTGGAAGACTGGGGCTATGTTGAGCTACCACATTACAGGACTTCCAATTGTCATTTTTTGTTGCGTCATGCAAATTTTCGCACTGCAGAAAGCTGCAATCTGTTCAGGAAAAACGCTCTGCCGCTATGAGATGGCATTGAAACGACATCCTTTGCTGTGCCAACAGAGAGTGCGATCAGATGGAAATTGTGTCGACACAGTCTCAAAGACAGAAAACAGGAAATGACGCTCCTAAACTGCAAAGGTGGAATTAGGGCTTGAACAAGGTGCAATTTCATGTTGAAGTGGGAGTGATCAAAATTGAACTTATGGTCAACGAAGTCAATTTTTTCTCTTCCAACGGCAGCCTATGTATTGTTGAACGACTCGAAAAACTGCAAACCATTTCCTTTTCATCATTAAAAGCAGGATCCTTCTTCGGCTCACCTGAGTCACCCAGTCCTGCTTCTCCTCTATTCAGAAATATCAACATCAAAGAAGATGATTGTTGCTTTTTTATTGCTTCGTTGCAGGGTGAATGAGCACACTTTCTACTCCATATCTAGACAATGGTTAAAGAAAAATTTTCATAACTTAGGAATTATTTGAAATGTTAATACCTCTTTTCCAAAACGCCTCATCTGTTCAAACCCCATTCATTATTTGTTTAAAAAAATCAAAACAAAACTTATTTGTATTCAGGTTCAACTATGATGATTTTTTGTCCTTAAGGGTGTTAAACATATTCAAAAGTAATCTGAATGTGGATTGTTTGCTGATAGATGAGTCAAATATCACAACGTGTTGATAAAAAGTCTCATGAAACTGGTTCGTGAGACACAAAGTGCGTCGATTCACATTTATGAGAATTACCGCAAATGTTTCTTCACAAGCGCTTCCGTGGGAGTTCTGAGCAATACCCAGAACTGTGCTAACGAGACGATGATGTCCTGATGTCAAAAAACGAAGCCGGGAGACGGATACTGTCAAGTTCAAGAACATAAAAGCTCGTTGGTACGTACCCAGAGTAACCTAATTTGATTTGGAGTCAGTATACGCACCCCAACCTGATCCGCAAAATTCTAACTCAAAAACAATTGAAATTCACCATTCGCGCGTCTGCGTCATACCAGTAGATTTGCGGCAACGCATTAGATTTTGTTTCAAGGTGACTGACCTTGCGACTATAGGGACTGCAACTTGATCCGCTAAGTTCTAGCAGGCAAACACCTAAGATGCATCAACCGTGCGACTCCACCTAAGCAGTGATCAAACTTGTGAAAAGTGAGCCGTTGAAAATTGAGCACAAAAAAGGATTTAAAAGATGTTGATTCTAATTAGTAATCGCTAACGAGACAAACTTACTTGGAAAAAATTGAAGTGATGTTTTTCACTGTCATTGTACACCAGGAATGTGGAGTTGCTACGGTTTGATGGAAATGAGAGAACCGTTTATTCGACAATGATCAAGTAGTCTTTAATCATTGCCACTATACCACCAAGTTTCTGGGTTGGCTCAGTTTGAATTTAAAGTTAATAGAAAACAACGAACAACCCTCCAGTCTAAGCTCATTTTTGTCAGTTATTGATTTACACACGATAATCAAAGCGCTGAAAAAAAAACACTTCGGAACACATTATTTCGGAAATGACGGCATCAAAAAAATATATGTCGCAAAACTCGGCCAATCAGTGGAAAAAAATGATATCATGGAGTAAAAGGGGAATATTTTTACTAATACTTGAAATCATATGAAAAATTACGGGACACTCGATTTCCTCCGCAAGCAAAGTAAAAACAAGCATAACAAGTGGGGATGTTAGTGCTACCAGAAACGAGTCCAATCTACCATCAAAGTTTTTCACCGAATTGAAGTTTGGTTGTTTTGTGATTACCACGAATTGATTTGACCACAGTTATTCTATTGCTTGTTTTAGTTTCAAAGCATTTCCTGTAGTTTGTCGTCAAACTAACGAGCTTGATTGCGCCTGATACTTCACGGCAAGTAGTTTTTCCGGAAACGTTTTTTAAAAGTTTCTAAACCACGCTTGAACTCTTAACTGATCGCAAACATTTGCCTTTGTCAAGCAAATGATACGAGGAGGCATGTAGTCAGAAACGCGCGCCGGTTTTGTAAAGCAAACAGAAAGTACCTCGACAACTTTTCTTCCTAATAATTATCAAGTTTTATCCTGAATATTGACGCGACTAGTTTGTACGGGTAGCAGAGTGAAACACTGCCCATAACCAATTAACGATTTTCAATTGTTGAAAAAGTGTTAGAGGACATACTGCGAAAGCGGTTGTATAGTTGAAGTCAACCTGATCATACCGGAGGAGCGTCAAAAAGTTTTCTCGCTGATTTCATGCAAGCCCGAAGTCATAAGAAATGAAAGAGAACTTCCTAAAAAAAACAGCTGTGAGCATGTATAAGAGCTTTAAAATCATTGACAGTCAATTAGCCACATTCGGGTCTTCAGCTAAAATATTATATGGTACAAATGCATGGTAATTTGTGCTATCATCATACACCTCGTGATATACTTCAGGTTTAAATTTTGACATCAACAAATGAAACTGAATCTATATTTGGAATTACTCTACTCGCCACTAAGGAATACTTTTATGTATGCTATGAAAACTGAAGCCGTTTAAAGGAAGTTAGCGAAAATAGACCAACTTCGTCTCCTCAAGTTTTGACAATTTCATATTCGACGATGCAACCAAGAAAATTGTGTGGAAAGAGCCCTTTTCTTCATTAAAATAAACTACGGTTATCTAGCTGCTTTAAGCAACATCATTCAATGTTGCCTAAACGTTGAATTATCTTCTGGAAACGTGTGAAGGGTTTATTTTTCTATTAAAATTTTAATGAAAACCATATTTCAGCGTCTTCTGTTTTTTGGTAGAATGAGAAAAAAATTTCGTGTAAGATTGTAATTCGCAACATTTGCAGTATTTGTGGTTCACATTTGCAGTATATTTGCAGTATATGTGGTTCAACATGATTTTTTGTTTTGCTTGAGAAGCAGGCGAAAACTCAAAACCTGAGGGGTAAGGCGGACTGCGCTGCGCAGCAAGAATTAGTGGAACATTTATTCAGGGACACGTTGTTCACCGGGAAGAAGTCGACAGTATACAAATGAATTTTAGTTTCGAAGGGTCACGCTAACATGCAAGTAGAGCAAAAAAACGTGCCTTATCATGCTTCGGTTTGAAATAATTTGTCCTTTTTCACGGGAATTTCACAGCTTTTGTTTAGCCACAAGGTTGCCGATGAATACTCATTTTAAAAAAAGATAAAACTCGACACCAAATGGGCCAACTCATAAAATTAAGCTGATAATAGTTCGACCGAAGTTAAACAGCCGGCTATGGAAGTTTTGCTCCGGAAGTACTCAGAAACACAGCTGCGAGTAGAAGTTTCTAGTATCTGAATGCGTCCCTGTTTAAATCTTCAATTTGTTTTATCAGAAGTTTCGAAAGAAAGATCAACTAAAACGTGCACAAAGAAAACTTCAATTTTTGAAACAAATATTCAGGATGATTTTTACTGATCATTTTTTTTTTCATTTCAGGTACAACTTGTTTTGCTTTCAAACAGTTTAGCAGTACCAATTTGTTTTTATTTGACTGAATCACTGTTTGCTTATAACTAGTTTAAGGCAAATTAGTTAATTAACACAAAGCAACTGTTAGTTCAAACTTATGTGTGAAATGCTTTTGTTCAGTTTTATCAACGTTTTTTCTACCATGACAGATGTTCGACAATAAGAAAAGGCCAGGTGAGGATTTCCAAAAATTAAATAGGACAAAAGAATTTCAGTGTCTAAGGCGTTATAAATTAATTGTAAAAAGGAATTAACATGCTGAAAAAAAAGTGCCCACTTTGGGGAAACTAGAAGAATTTTTGAATCGAGTCCCGGTTGGGAAGATCTTAAGGAGGGAGTTTTCTACTTTGGGGGTAGGAACTTGCGTTCATTCACAAAGTTCTATGATTGGGGTCCTTCAAAACCTCCACGTCCTAGGTTTTTCCTATACGTGAGGACCCCCCTTAGGAAAGACCCTCCCCCTTAGAAAGGAACCATTCTTAGACCCGCGAAACAATGCGAAGGGACGAAAAATTCTAAAATCACTTATAAAGGTTTGACAAATTTGAATGGGACAGATTTTAAACTTCCGATTTTTTTCCCACTCTCTCAATTCTGTTTTCAAAATTTTTCGAAGCCCCCTAGAAAAATAATTGCTACCGAAAGTTTGATTAACATTTACATCCAACTCCTCCATTTTTCTGTTCAGTCTCGTGCAACTACTACCCGGCCTTCTTTGACTCGGTGAAAACTTTTGAGCTTGTCACTCTTCTGGACAGGGATCCAAGTGAACTGGTGATTTTGCCTCTGACAGATGGCCAATGGGTCTGCTACAACTACAATAATGTACGCAGCCGTCATTAATCGCTTATTTACCGCCATAAACCCGGCAGTAATTTATAGCACCCACCCTCATAATGCAAAAACCTACTTAGTGAGGCTATAACTTTTTTGTTACTGCTCGGCTGGGTGGGGAATGGGGGGGGGGGGGTGTAAGGAGAAAGATCCAATTCAATATTATTCTATAAGTTATTAAAATGATGACAAAAAATAAGGTCATTTACTTTATTTCGTAGTCTAATCGCTGCATCCGTCTTGATTTGCGTATATTCAGTAAGAATTGGTCAATCATTTTCAAAGATGTGAGTTCGACTCTTAGAAAACTTGAACTACTTTTCCATAACCCATGTATTACAACATGACAGGCAAGCAACGCTTGGGAGCTGGTTCCGGACGGTTGTTACGACGAGGGCTTGGAAATTACTGTCTTTTGCGCCGAAAGCGTGACCGAGTCAGATTCGGACTTGATGCGACAGATCTACGAAGACTTCTTCGAGATTCCCACCTTCCTCTATATCACCCTGACAACTGACCCCAGTTTCAAATTGGTACCTGTTCCCGATGAAGTGAACGTGTTTGGGTATGTTCCGGGAAGAAAATTTATGGCAGTTCAAGCAGAAGCTCTCCGACTTAATTCAAGTATGTTGCTATAATTTTGTAAGTTTGGTTTTACAAAAAATGGCAAACTTGAGGGATAAAAATGTAACGGTGGCTGTGAAATCTCAGTTTTTTTTCAGACTGAGACAATCATATTTAGAAATTTTCTGATCTGCTTTTCGCAGGGGCGGATCTAGGATTTTCTCGAGGGAGGGGGGCTGATTCTCAAAAATTTTCGAAAATAATGTCGACCTTTTTTTTAGGTCGACCAAATTGATTTTTCGAGCTCCCCCCAAGCACAAGTCCCCTGTTTTGGCCTTATGTTCTGCGTCGCAGGCAAAAATTTGAAAAAAAAATTGACCAAAAAAGGCGTTTTTAAGCACTTTTTGGAAAATTTTGACCAAAAAATCGCATTTTTTCGGCTCGCGCTCCTCCCTCAAAATTAGTATATATTGGCACCGAAGGCGCCTTTAAAAACATTTTAGGGTCCTTTACCAGAAACAGATATCTCAAAAAAGCACAAAGGGGGGACCCTTTGTGGAGGCAGGGGGTCGAATCCCTGAGAAAAAAAGCGTCAGCCACCAAATCACCTAAAGGGTTCAAATTCACCTAAATGGTCAAACTTTTGCGTTTTTTGTGCGAAACCTCCGAAAAGGCCCAAATTATGTTCGATGTTTGCAGTTCTTTGTGAGACTGAGTTTTCTGTGACTGGGACTGCTATGGCTGAAGAGATCATGCAAAGTGTAGGAATCGATACCCAACAACCCGAAGTGAACAAAATTGCCATGAAAGACCAAACTGGTTCCTGGATATGCCTGCTGGTAATTTTGATTCATTTCGGATACTTTTTCAATTAGAAAATTGATCCAAAAGGAGAAGAGCCGTTTAACATTTGAACCTGAAACATAGAAATAAACTACTCAAAACTCATAGCCTTCAGTGTACCAGAAAGTAAGTTTCCTCAAAAAAATTTGTGGTCTTCATAATTTTGATTGTGTGCGGCAATATATGAATTGTCGTCGAAAACTTTTATATCGAATAGTTTTTTCGTTGAAGACAGCCGTTTTGAATTGTGAGTTTTAAAAGGTGGCCATATGTTTTATTAATTTATAAGCACGGTAGAAACCCAGCTGCGGGAGGATCCGAACATATCCTCACTTCTTAAGCGTACCTGTCTCTTATATTTTCTAGTTCCCCGTTTTCTGTATAGATAGTTTTGGGGTCTGTCAGCCAAACAATGATACCTCATAATAATACAAACGGGGACCCATTGGGTCGGCAGGGAGTCGCAAACGACGTCTTATATTTTATAATAACTGGTCTTCTGTGTAGATAAATGCAGCGTCGGCATGGGAAGCGGCACCTTGCGATGGTTCCCACTACTTCCACTTCTGTGATGCTACAGTGTTCGACCCCCTGCACACCCAAATGAACATATTCATGAAATCACTCTAACTCATTGTGTGCTTACTACTGGTGGAAGCGGGCACAGTTTTATTTATCGTTTAATCGGTATCTTCTAGAAAATTTGAGAAAAAAAACTAAGAAAAAAATGACGTTTGAAAGGCATCCACCAATCAAAATCGGGAATGAGGGGGGCATTAACTTAATGGCCCCCCAGCATTTTATACCTAAAAAGTTCAAGGATCAAAACTTAGAAGACGTAAAACAAATGACGTTTCCGAATTTGATTCCATACAATCCATACAAACGGTGTGAAATAGTTCTCAAGAGTCAAGTTATGAAATCGGTTAATCGGTTATAAACCACTTCTATCTCTGATGGTGTGACATTCATCTCATCTCATACAACATAAAATTGTAAACATAATTGCACAAACATAACTATATTGACGAAACAAAAGAAATTTAAAATATATTCACGCAGTTTTTAGTTTTACCAGTAAAATGAATAAAAGAAAAAACCTCTTTCAACAAGTATAGCACCAGCTGGCAACTGATAGTTTTACCAAAAAAGGAAAACAAAGCATCAAAAATCAGTTTATGAAAAGTTAGCTAAAAATCCCAACCTCATGGTGAAAATAGTAGTCCCGAGCCTTGGCTTAATTTTGTTCTGGGATTTTCTCGAGGGGGGAAGGAAGGGTATGGTGGATTTTCAAAAAAAATGTCAAAAATTGTGTCGAGCTTTTTTAGGTCGACCAAATTGATTTTGCGAGCTTTTCCCGAAGCACTAAAAAGACCGTGTCTCGGCTAAATTTCTGCGCTAAAAAAAAGCTTTTTTACGCACTTTCTGGAAAAGTTAGACTGAAAAATTGCGTTTTTTGGCGCGCGCTTGCCCTCAAACTTACTAATTATTGGCGCCTTTAGAATAACTTTGGGGTCTGTCAGCCAAACAAGGGTACCTCAGAATAATACAAAGGGGGGGCCTTTGGGTCGGCAGAGAGTTGCATCACTAAAAGAAGGCGTCCTGCCGCCCCCCTCCCCTAAATCCACCCCTGATAGCCAGCTACTGTGCAAGTGGTACAAAATGCTCCGACCATAGTCTCAGAAAAAAAATTAAAAAGTTTTTTCAAACTCGAGTTTCTTTTTTTTCTGCGGTGTGTTAAAAACATCTGAACCAAAACTTGATAGTCATAGTAAATTGGAATGTTCGACAGCCATCGTCAAATCGGCAAATTGGCTGTAGAAAAATGACTAAAAAACAAAAAAATCAATTAGATAATTGAAAAAAGTCTTTGAAATCCAAAATGGCAGTAAATAAACTGAAAACACTAACGTTACTATTAAAATTAAGTTTATACGGCTTTAATCAAGCATAAACAAGCTATTATGAGCCGGCTTGCTCGCTTTCTTTGCCCAAAGTTAGGCTAAAAATCGAAATTTTTAAACCTGTTTTTTTTCGACACTGAGATAATTTTTGAAACGTTTAATGAAGACACTCACATGACAAATGAAAGAAATTTTTTATGATAAATCATCCGACCCATACCGATGATTGTTTGTGATACTTGATTTTGCGTGGTAAACAAAAAAAAACATACCCGAATACAAATTTTCTACCTATTTTCAATGGTCGGAAGAATTAGAGTCTGTTGCGTCTTTTTTTGAAAATCCTTAAAACTCGTGGAGATGCTCCAATTATCAGTTAGGCGACACTTTTGCGCACTTTTTTTGCGAAAAGAGAATGGTGAGAGTATTCAGAAATTTATAGTATGTTCAGTAAATTTTGTTGAATTTTTTTGGTTAAAAGCCAGAATTTTAACAAATATTGCTTCATTGAGAATCTGAAACTCCCATTTTCTTTTAAAAATTTGTTTTGTACATGTTAAAGCAGTAAACAGTTTTTGACTATAGAGTCAATTTGGACAACCGAAAAGAAAAATACTAAAAATTTCAAAACTTTTCTGGTAATTTCTTGAGTTAGTTGTAGTCTATCAGAACTACATAGTCTATCAGAACTTTTATTATGGCGCAAACAAATGAACCGAACTTGCGTGGAACAATTGGCGAGAATTCCGAAAGAAAATCTGGATATCGATTGTCTTAACGGACCAGAGGTACCGGAAACTCAAATTCCAATCCTGGAACAAGGAACAGGAAGTGAATGAACAGGAGTCACTAGAGAAGCGAGGAAAAAACGCACTGAATCTGTACAAAGCCGCCAAAGAGAAACCGATCAACGAAGAGAAGAAAAAGAACAAGAGACGAGGAGACGAGCGGAAACGACAAAAAGCTATGATCTTCTTTTTTTTTAGCACTCGGCAGCAAGGGAAAAAGGGTTTTCGCCCAGAAAACTTTCGGGCGAAAACTTTAGCCATATCAATTACCGAATTCCGTAATCTATTAGACGTTGCCTTCAATAAACCTCCCAACACATCTTACGAGAGGTACAAATTGTTAAACCGCAAAAAGAAAAAACGACCGACAGTCATTTGAACAATTTTGGAGCGCGCTAACAGATCTAGCTAGTACATACAATATTAGAGAGACCGACAAAGTGGAATGGATTAGGGACGTCTTCATATGCAAAATGAAGAATAGCGAAACTCAACGGAAACGTCTATCAGCTACAATCAATCCCTCAGAAGCTCTAAGTCAGGCCCTTATTGACGGAAAGTCTACTTTAACCATCAGATATTGACAAATTTGGCGAGATTGTTGACCAATGGATCGACTTTTAAATCTTAAAAAGTACATAAACAGATAAAGAAAGAACCGAGCCTCAACATAGACAGGAGTAATTCAAGCATGAAACACGGCAACACATTTAGTAAGAGCCACTTGAATGTGTCCAGCTGGGTATATCACTAGTAAAAATTGTAACTATAGAGGAATTTTCACCATATTTTGTAAACCTTGAAACAAGCGACCATCTGTAAATAATGCAAAATTTAATCCTGTCAATACCGATAATTGTACATACGTCCCGCCGGAGATTTCCTGCAGCAATAATCAAGAATTGTGTGGAGTGTTAAACACTTGGAATGACGATGGACATAAAAATTTTTTGGTGATGAGCATTAAGACTATTTACGAAGAGAACGGACTGGAAACTAAGAAACGCTTGAACATAGGATTGGGATGGGAGATGATTGTATATATGAATATTCTTGTAGAGTCCGCGAGCCTGAAAGTAAGTGTTACACGTTTTTAAACTCAAATACTCCCACCTGAAAAAATAGCCCGTGGAGAAAGGATCAGCAGAGGTTTAGACTCCGGTTTCACAGATAACCCGATCAACATCCTGGCAAAAATAAGCATCAGGACCCAATCCATTGGGTGGATTTGTGAACAGACGCCGTTTTTCACTACTAGAGGAGACACGAACGCAATATATTGGGAAACGATAAACTACCTAGGCTAGAAATCGAAGTCAAACAGAAGAAGTGTTCCCAGCCAATATGTTCAGTCAGCCAGCCGCCAAGGGGGAGTTAGTCGAAATTTTTTTTTCATCTGAACAATATTTCAACCATTTTAAAGAGCTATTTACCAGAGTTGGGGAAATTCCGAACGATCATAAGGTAACCCATTTCCACTCATCGTTTGAATCGGTCCAGGCAAAAGGAACAAGTATTCCTCTGCATCTACTCTCGGATGTAATTGAAGAGCTGAAAAGAATGGAGACCGAAGGTCACCTTGTAAAATTAGAGAAATGCGACAAGGATTGTTTCAGTTGATCCGATCGTTATATAAAAAAAGAATAAGATGGCTTGATTAAACTGGTGCTAGACTTTAAAAAAATCAAGTTTTCAAAAATAAATATCAAATACCCAGCATTCATGAACTGATCGACAACGTTGCTAAACAATTTTTGGAAAATCCCATTGGGCTGGTCTAGTTTAACAACTTAGACTTCAAAAATTTGTATAGTCAATTTAAGTTTTGCAAAAAATACATGCAATTAGTGTAACTCCAATATTGTGGGCTTTGAAACATTGGGCACGTATCAATTTTTCACCGGTTTTAACAGCCTGGGCGACATGCCCAATGAGTTTCAACGAGTCATGGACTCTTTTTAAAAGAATATACCGTGTACAAATAGCAACATAGACTACATTCTGGTTGCTTCGAAAGGATTTCTAGAGTTCTGACAATCCTAGACAAGATCAATTTGTGCTGAAAAGGGAAAAATGCGCAATTTTTTCAACAAGAAATAGAATGGTTAGGCTCGTGGAATTTCTGGAGATGGAGTACGATTGTTGGTATCAAAGTCGCCGCTATCATAATCCTTTCAATCACTAAAATAGTTTTTGAATTACGATCGTTCTTTGGCTCACAAACTCAATATGTAAAACTTGTTCAAAACCTTTCTACTTTGAGCTTCTCCTTCGTCCCCTCCGAAAAAAGAAGTCAGGTTAACAGTTGGATAATAACCATTAAAAAGCTTTTGAAAAACGGAACTCAGAGTAAAATCGTTCAATATGTTTTGAAAAATTGAAGTCAGAATATGTAAACATAACAGAAAACAGCCACTTTCACATTACAGAAAAAACGAGATTAAAAATCGACGTTGCTTATAGCGGTATGGGCGCGACAATTTCAAAGGGGACTGTGAAAAACGATCGGATTTGCCTCGATATTCTTATATAATCACAAAACGAAGTATTCCAGCAATAAACTAGAGTTATTGGGTGTAGTATGGGCCTCAGACTTTTTCAGAAACTTTTCTCTGATAGGAAATTTTGCAGATCATTAAGCCTTACTTTCGGCCCGTTAAGCCATTCATTGCAAAAATCTCTGCATAGCAGATTAACCCGTTGGGTAAATAGACTGGTACTTTTTGATTTTAAATTCTCCTATCTTCAGTGGAAATACAAGGGTTTTACCGACCTTCTATCTAGATTACCGTCTGGCAAAACCTTACCCCCCTCACACTACGATGAAGATATTGTAGTCAACGAAACTCGGAATTTTTTGTCTAATGCAGACCGTTTTAAGTGTCTAAATATAAAATCTGTAGATAGACCGTCAGTCGCTGAAAATTCATTTTCAATTGTTGATAGTAATATCCCATCGGGAGATGAAAATTCAAGCTATTTGATTGGTCGAGATTTTGAAATCAGTTCATTAACATCAATCAATCTTAAAATTATTGTCGATATTATCTCTTGTATTGCTTAGTCAATCAAAGTTTGCGTTAACTCATATTTTAGAGCAGAAAACTGTTCTTCAAAGTCCTACCCCTAGACAACTCTAAGTTAAGTTTGAAAACACTATTTTTACTGACAAGGTAGTTTCACTTTTCGTTATGCAAAACGAAGGTATAATCAGAAAAAGAAGTCCACGGGAGAGTTAATGTCGATATATCTTCCGGCCTATTAGTAATCATACCGGAAGAACAAAGTATAGCTTTGAAATTCAAAGATGACCACCTCTCAAATGATCATGCGAACCTTTCGAAAAAGTATAAACCG